GGAAATAAAGAGCCTTAAAGTTCAAGAGCTGGCCGAAGGAAGATTAAACTACTTGGTTTACATTTTTTAAGTGGTGTAAAACTGTAACATTTTTTTCCAGGCATGTCATCTTGCGTATTAATTATACCAATAAACTATGCCAGTTTCTTTTTTTCATACACAGCTTCCAAATTCAAGACAAGAGGCTCAAGTTACAAGAAAAAACATATGAGTGAGAACTATCGTGTTGGATCTCTTTGAAGTGAATCAGTTTGCAAAGAAACCCTTCGTCTTTAATTGTGCGGAAATATTCCCATCCATCTGAAACTTTTGGTGGCTGAGTTACATATGAAAAAAAGTACATTCCTAGGCAGACTAAGATCTATGCATGTAGGTTTGTTGTACAGATAACCCTGCCACTGATTTAATAAAAACACGGTATCAGGTAAACATTAATCTTATGACAATTTGCAGTGGAAGCAATCAAAAAGATGAGTGGGTTTGGATGAAAAAGGGACTAGCCCATTTGCTCCTTTCCATTTCCTTCAAAATATCCATTTCTGTTACTCCACTTCAGTTTTAAGGCCTTATAATACTGAAAAACAAGAACTGATCTTACAGGTTGACAAAATTAGTTTTTTCCTTAGAATATGGAAAAGGCTGCAGAAGAGTGCCTTTGCTAAACCAAAAAAAAAAAGAGGAAAACTTATATTCCTAAATGCCAAAATATGTGTTTTTCTTTTACACCTGTGAGAAAGAAAAACTAGTCACTTACTAAATACACAGCAGTACTAATGGCATTTAAATAAGGTAGACAGCAGGATGGAAATGCATTATGACCCTTAAAGCATAAATTTGTAAGTTCTACTAAAAACGCCCATTTGCTAGTTGAGTTCTGAATACCTGAAAAAGGCTGCAATATAGTTCGCAAATATGTAACAAAGGACATATTTATTCTCATCTCTTGTCTCTTCTTCTCCAACTCACCCCTGACAGTCACCTACTTGATTGCAATTTAATGGTTTTGTGGCTACAATAATTTTCCTCCTTTCTTATGTGTTCATTCTATCCCAAATAGAGACACATGCAATCTCTCCAGGTCACAGCAGATCAGACGTGACCAAGCAACCTGAGCCACTTTCCTCTCTTTAAAAAAAAAAAAAAAAAAGGACAGAACCAATGTGTATCATTCATACCATCAATACAGTCTTGGAGGAATCCCCAGGATATCGGAGACTGAAGACAATCAAGGATCCCAAAAAGCAAAAGAAGGTAAGGGTGGCAACATTTCGAACATCGAACAAAGACTCCACGAGAGGAATAGTTCCCATTGTCCAGTCACAGCATAATTCTGAGGGGTTGAGAAGAAGCCAAGCATTTACAGGGAGGAGGTAGTTGAAAGTCAGCTGTCTGGCTGGGGAAGGACTAACAGCAGCCGGATTATCAAACCTAAAGCAAAAGAAAGGAGATAAAGGAGTGTTTAATGAAAAAACATATGGTCTTGAGCCACTTTGTGCTCAGAAAACAGCAAATTTTAGACTCAAAAGTATCAATTAACAGACATGTACAATATCCTAATCTTCCTTCATTTGTCAGTAGTGTAACTTGGGAACCACGCACGGTGATCCATCCTAGTGCAGGATAAAGCTCCCTCCAAGTTTAATAAACTCCTTTAAGACAGAATCAACATAAGCTTGAGGAAACAGTGATTTACATCTGAAGTTGGATTCAGCAGTCCTTGTTCATGTTTTTATAGTTTGCCTCGCTTTTCAGGGAGAATACATATTTCTACATTGCTCATGCACTTTTAAGATAAATTACAGTTTTTCAGTCCTGACATTACTCGTATATACTTATATTCACGCACTGCATCTGAAGGCAGCCACGCTTTCTGCATAGAACATACCTAAACCCCCAAAATATTTTTTTATGTAGGAGGGGGAAATCTTAAGGGGATTGGAGTATTCAGCCAGAGTTCAAACAGATAGCCAATAAAAAATATTTTAGTAATACAACATTTGATTTCTGAACTACTAAAACAAATTGACATCCACAAGTTTTTAAAAATTAATGCCTGCTCAACTACCTAATATTTTGGACATCCTTGTCAACAGGTACTGAAATATACTGTTTAGCAATTTCACAAAAAGTGCAATACTGAACGGTCATTACTTACCAATATTAAAATAAGTTAATAAACACTGCTGTTTTGGTCATTTCATTCAGATCGCATTAAACTGCACCTTATTTGCCAGTATCTGTAAATAGGAGACTTTGCATTCCTACCTTGTAAACACTGGAAGTTGAGATTGGATAATCTGGACTCTGACAACTACAAGCAGCAGCGTACTGAACATCAGGACTATGAGCTTCAACAGGGTCTGGAGCATAGAGAACGGAATACTGCCCTTCCCTCGAAGAATCTGTACAGCTGTGTCCAACAACAATGGCAAGGTGTACTGCAGAAGGAAGAATTGTTTAAAAACAGGCAGCGTACTCATTAATCCCTTTGATAAATATGAGCTGTTATTTTTGTTCTTGTTTTTCTCTAAATGCCTGCTCCAAAGAGTTACTTATCTTCTCACAGCTTTCATAACAACCCCCTAAATAAGTCCATCACTCTAATAAAAATAATTCAAGTACTCTTGCTAACACTACCATAGCTGAACTTGTATGCCTGTAGTTCTGTATTTTGCACTGACAGATTAAAAACTTTGTACTACTTTTAGAGACTTTAATAAATCAAGTATGACCAAGAAATAAATTTTGAAGACCATAAATCACTATTTTTAGAATTATCAGTTTGTTCATGCTACATCTGTGCCCTCAGAGGAAGGTTCAGTTTGGGTTTTATCTTTTCTGCTCAGGTGACTTACACAAACTCCTTGATCCTCATGAAACTGAGGATCAGATCAAAAGTTACTAATAGAAAGGAAGAGTGGATTCAAAAGTATGGTCACATACTGGTGATTTCCTCAGAAATCCCATTTGAATAGTGGATGTTTATTCACTAGACTTGCAAAGGCAGTAGTTAGAAATGCACAGATTTTTGTAGTAATAAAAAAAATGTGATTTTAGTATTTTGGCCTTGAATATGTATCTCTGAGACAGACAACATTTTGCCTTTTACTGTTGTAGCTTCTGCAAAATATTCCTTCACATAATTAAGGAATATTAAACTAGAAAAATTTCTTACAATATCATGTATTTTTACATGCAATCATGTATTTTTAAATTGCATACGGTTTGACTAATAAAAAGCTAAGAATTATTTCACCGTATCTTTTTTTCCTAAACAAAAGTTACGCTTAGAGTGAAACCAATCAGATTAGAAAATAAATTTAAAGGTATTCTTAAAACAACAAATTTCCTAAGAATATTACTGATTCAGATGAGACTATTCCAAAGCAGAAGAGTGAGTGCCTTTGTATATTCTCTATTTTGACAAAAGGAATTAAAATAAAAAATCCCCCATCTTTATGCACTTTATAGACTTTTTCATCAAGGCTGTTACATGTCTTTGTAAAACTCAGTCAACTAAAACCTTAGGTTTCCATTAAGAGATATCCACTCCTTACTGAGAGCATTTGGTAACACCTCTGTATATCATGTAAAGGACAGCTTAGAAGTCACTGGATTCCCTCACCATGAATCATGTACGTTAAACACTAGCTGAGTCAAAAAAAAACGTGGTAACAGAAGTATAAGTCAGCCTGAACTGATAAAAATCAGTGCTGAAATATGACAGTTCAAAGCAGTTAATGTCTCATTACAGAATTCCTGAGAATACAGCCAACTTATTTTTCAGCAGCTTACCCCTTGAGCAATAAATACTTCATACACACAGCATATCCCCACCACTGTTATTCCTTGTTCTTTACACAGTGTTGCGACAGCTACTAGAAATACAGTCACTGCAATTGGAGTCCACACTGCAAATAAAGAAGACATTACTGACAATGTCCCATCTTACAGCAAAAACAAACATTTGATAAACTAAATTAACCTAAAAACGTGAAGACTTTGGCTCCTGAACATGTGTTCATGTTTGAACATGCTATGTTCTATAAACTTATTCAATATGCCATTTGTTATTAAAGGGAAGATTATCAGTTTCACTCTACAGCAAAAAATCATAGAATGGCCTAAGCTGGAAGGGACCTCAGAGATCATTTTAATCCAGCCTCCCTGCCGCCAGGGACGTCACCTCTCGACTAGATCAGGCAACACATGGGGACCGAATGGGAATCGAACTCATGACCTTAGCGTTGTTAGCGCTACGCTCAGCTGACCGAGATAACCAGTCGCCTATAACACATGTGTACATTTTAAAACTACCTCCCTTGAACTGAAAGGACTAAATGAAAGGCAAAAGACTAATCTATGATAGGAAAAAAAAACAACCCCAATCTTTCCTAATTCAGAAAACACCTTTTGAAATGGAATGTTTTATAGGGACTCATGAATTTTCACAAGGTCAATTTGACTTTGGAAAAGAGGTGAGCTTCCTACATCTCTGCTGAAAGTTTGCAGCTTACTTGTGACCGTCTGAGACATCTCAGTATGCTTTCACTTACTCGCATTAATAGAGGTCAGTCCAAGTCTCCTACTCTAAGTATTATAAAACCGGTAAAAAAGTAATTAAGTCTTGAAGGAAAAAAAAAAAAAAAAGGTAATTTATAATGGAAAGTACTATTACACTGGTATCTTGGTGACTAAGGGTTTTTTGTGCACACTTGCTGAATAATCAATTGTTCTGGTTTTGGCTGGGATACAGTTAATTTTCTTCCTAGTAGCTGGTTTTAGATTTAGGATGAAAATAATGCTGTTAACACAATGAAGTTTTCGATTCTTGCTAAGTAGTGCTTATCATAAGTCAATGATCTTAAGCAAGAATGCTGGAAGGGCACAAAAAGTTGAGAGGAGACATAACCAAGACATTTGACCCAAACTAGCCAATGGGATACTCCATAACCTATGACATCATGCTCATTATATAAACGGGCTGGGCATCAGTCAGCAGTGAGTGACTGCGCTGTGCATCACTTGGTTTACATATTCTAATTATTTTATTATCATCATCATTATTATTACTATTATTATTTTCTCCCTCTTCTTTTCTATTAAACCATCTTTATCTCAGCCCATGAGTTTTACTTTTCAATTCTCTCCCCCGTGCTGCTAGGGAGAAGGAGTGATCAAGTGGCTGTGTGGTGTATAATTACTGGCTGAGGTTAAACCATGACACCAATACACCCATATTATCATTTTAAGAGCTTTGTCATCAGTGATACAGAAATGAAGTTATATATATATTTGTCAATCATTTACCTATAGTGTTATCTGGGCCTTTAGATTTTGTATAAGACAAAAAAGCAGCTAGGAAAAAGATAGATGATAAAAGCTCTGCTCTGCCCACAACTCCAGTTACCTGGAAAAAAAAAAAAGGAAAACCAAGATTATTCTTCTAGTGATTATTCTAGTACTAGAATAATGCATGACTATTATACTGCCAGGATATGTTTTAATAGGATCTGCAAACCGAGCAAAAAATGCTAAGATTGCTTTCAGTTCAATCAGTACCGAGTTGAAAAACAGGATGATACAGGTGGCCGGTGGCCACTTGTGGCTGATGTGCCCCTAAGTATCATCATTAATGCCACAACTGAGAAATGCTGTACTTGCTTTTACCTTTAGTAAGATCAGGCACAAACAGCCTTTTAGGCAATTTCTTTCTTCATAATACTTGGAAGAATGTAGCTTTCATCAACAGCAGCTTTAAACAAAGCCTGACAAGGACTGCTGTAAATATACATCCTGCAGGCAGTGCCACATAGAAATTACAACTATTACTTTCATTTACATCTTTTCTGACTGACTGAACAGATCTGAAAGATGCATTCCTTTGACTGGTGCTATGGCAGCTCTTTGGTGAGCAGTCAAGAGTTACAAATAAATTGATGGCAGGCTCTGTGCAATGGAATTGCTCAGGCTTTACGACAGACACAGTAATTTTCTGAATGGTAATTCAGTTGGCAATATTAAAATTCTGTGAAATTTGTAGGTAACATCCTTTTTGGTCATGAAACAGAGCAATGGATTTTCTGAAAATTCAGAGAAGCGCTAAAATCCACAGGGCAGAAGGTTTCTGTTTCGGATTCCCCAACGCAACACAGGTTAATTTCCATTTCAGGAGCTGTTTTCAAAATTATGGTGCAACCAACAACGAGAAATGGAGTAAAGGTCAGTAGTTACTGCAGTACCCACTGTGCTGACCATAGTACCATTTAGGACTGCCTTTCTTCTTCATTTTTGCTCTTCTGTAATGTCTCTGATCGCATCCAAAAATTTTTGCAAGTAAGCTGGCTGAAAAAAGGCATGCTGTCCCGAGGTAGATAGTCATATTTAGCTATGGAAACTTCATAGCCCACCATGTAATTCTGATGATGCAGATAACTGACTTTCAGACATCCAGACCCAGCCAGAATTTTTTATTGCTAGGTACATTCTTGGTCAAGCATGATTGATCCAGCACAACATAAAAAGAGGAAGTAACTAAAAACACAAGGTCATAGTGCAAAGTATTCAAATTTGGATCTGACATTATGCTCTGGTGCTTCCATTTAGAGTAGTGTAGGTTTACGAAAGGACTCACCAAATAGTGCACAGACAAAGCATGTTTTACAACTGATAGGACATCAGAGTTTGTGATAATATTTTGCACGGATTATTTTCAAAATGTCTTAAGATGTTTCTAAGATACCTGGTCTGGATCTCAAAACTGTACAGCATTAACACAGAAACTGATCTGCTTTGTCTGTAGATCAGCTGAAAGAGATCATTAGCAAAGCAAGTGTGCTGCTGTGCTCCCACAGTCCCTTGCCAACAAAAGAGGGATTCTATTTCTGGATATAAAGGTGACTTCTGAGAGAAAATCTGAGCATTCACAAGGTTAGTTGACACCCCATAACTGTAAAAGGTGGTCAACGTGCTTCTGGCCAGAACAGTTCCAAGTAGCTAGAAAGACTGAACTGGAATTCTAAAGATAAGGACAAATGAAACTACGATGCTGTTATTCAATCCATTTCCTCAAAAATTCTTCCTCAGAAAATGATACATTAACACCGCGAGAAACCAGCTTCTCTCTGAAGTCAAACACAAATTATTTCCTATTTTTCCTGCTCTGCTAGCTTTTCCAGGAAAAATCTATTTATCATAAGATCGGTAAATGTTCGAAATGTTCATGTTACATCTGTTGTTTCAAACTCTTGTGCAGGGGAATACTAAGTAGGAGAGTAATTTGAAGGAATTCAAATTGGATACATTTCAGTTATAAAAGATACAAAAGGTAGCACCAAGTGATAAAAAAACTGGGAATGAGACCTGGTTTGGAGTTTTCACTGAAATCTGATTAAAATAGTCAACCCAAACTCCCAGTTCTAAAATCCAGCCCACTATTACCTTCTCCTTTCCACGTACAGAAACTTCTAGTTGTTTTGCCTTTTATACACGTGCACAAGTCTCAACTGCTAGCTCTAAGAATCCTTTCTTGGTTGCACATGAGGCACAACTCTCAATGCAAACACTTGAAAGTATAAAGCGCACAATTTCTCCAAATAGAAAGCTTAATTGAAAAAGGTGGGGAGAGGAGGAAGAAAAACTCTTTAACTGCTTCTTCATCAAGTACCTAAGCACAACAGCAGGGGAATTCAATTACAATTGTGCTTAAATCTCAAGCGCCTGTTAAGTGTTTTAGGAATGGCGCAAAGTTCTGCCAATCACACAGTGTTAAAGTGCCCTCATGTGGCTAATAGCGGGAATTGCACACTTATTCCTGAACTGCTTCACAACGGCACTTCTTAACTTTCGTAATACACTGATTTACCCAATACGCTTTCACTACACAATGTTGTGCAGGATTTGAATGATAGCTTTTGCTAACTGTTGCACAGTACTAAAAGCAACTGTGCTGCTCTTATCTCAGATGGAATGTGACAGTTCAAGCATGGTGAAGAATCATCATATTTGGAATGAAAGCCATAAAATCACATTGCATTGTCTAAGCCATGAAACACCACTCATTTGAGTAATTAGAAACTTGCTAATGCTCCTGTAAACATACTATTATATTTACTACAAAGAAACAAAACCAAATTGAAATGTAAAGCACATTTCTTCAAAGAAACAGAAAACGAAATGAAATTAACAAAACTCTTTTTAAGCCATATTTTACCCAAGATTTTATGGGAGTTTGTGCTTTTGAGCACAAAAGCAAGCAAAAATGTCTAGGTGTTTAACTTTTGCATTTTTAAACATGTCACGAACTTCTTATAGCAAGGACATATTAGTAGCTCAAACAGCAGTCAATTACAAACACCATGAATGTAATTCCTATGAACATTTGCTCAAAGTACACAGATTAAGGCTACTGAATTGCTGCTGACAGAGATTTGTGTCTTCAGAGAACAAGAGAGAAATAAACTTTTTACCTAAACAAATCAGGACCAAAGGTAAGGTTAAGAGCAAACCTTCTGCATTTTCCTAATATCAAGACAACCCTCTCTTTCACCCCCTAAAAACATATTAAAGAGTGGCATAATATCTCCAAAGAAGCAAAAGGTTTAAACATGCTCAGTTTTCTGAAAAATCAGCTAATACTGTAAGAAAAAAAAAAAGAGACTGAGAATGAGCTATGCAACATGTGTGAATTACAGCTTAGCAAAGCCAATCCAAGCGATGCAGAAATAACAGCAGAGAATTCCACAGATCTACTTTATCAGTGTTTCTGACAGAAACTAATCTAAGGAATGGTGATCGTAAGACTCCATCTACTCCACAGCACTGTAAGTCTGGGTGACCATTAAAAAGCGTACAACCCAACAGTTTGTAAAAACAATGCTTTGTATAGCAGTGGAAAACGCCTTTCAGAATCAATGGAAAGGTAAATATGAGAGGCAAGAAACGTATTTCCTCTTGTATCAGGTATGTGCAAAACCAGAAGGTTCAAACAGAATGGCTCTAAGCTGGCTGTAGCATAGCAACAATCCTAGAAAAAGCCCTGCTGAAACAGGTATGCTGACATAAAAAGAAGGTGGACAGAACACACCTGGTGTGTGCTTAGCCATTCTGGAAATAAGAAATCTGGAAATGAATTCATAGTATTTGCAAAATGTGATAATGGATGAATCATCATGGAACACAAGTATCTGTGTAAGCTAAAGTAGCTATCACCACAAAAGTCAATGTTCAAAGCAGAGACCCAAGTTATCAAATAACTAAATTAATGTTAACTCCAAGCACTAAAATTTGCGACCTCCACCACTCGTGGCAAAAGGCATAGTGATTACAAGTAAAATCACACATTTTTTGGAGTTACGATACTCAAAGAGATGCAAAACACATGAAATTTAAGGTCAATTAATACACCTTGAAGACATTAAGCTTATCACCTACCGCTTCAGTATGTATTGGGTGCACTGCAAAGAGCAAGGAAGCAACTACACTGCTCCTGTTGTCCAGAAAAAGTTTACAGACCTTGAGGAAGACCACACAGACCACCACATGAAAGACCAGATTTAGGAAGTGGTAAGAAACTGCATTTAACTCGCTGAACAAGTAGTTTAAACGAAAGGTAAGAACTGTAAGGGGACGGTAAGATTTATGACTCCTCTCCTAAAAGAAAAGAAATAAATAAATCAGTCAGTCACCAGTAACTTGCAAAGGTCGTTTTACTCCAAAGTATCTTTCTGAAGATCTACACACGCATGATTCCCCCCTCTATTCTCAGGCATCTAATTTCAAAATAATGATCTGAAGATAAGTACCATTAAAATTATGAAAATAATGAAAATCTAGTTAATTAAAGGAAAGCTCAATTTAAAATTAAAATGGTAGACAGATTTTAATTCTGACTATTTTTCCTACTGCCACATAATTTTAATATTATTCAAGTATTTTGATCACCATTTCATGTTTTAGAACAGTAATTTATAAAAAAGCAATTTGGTGCACTCAGCTAAACATATTTTCTATATATTTTCAATACGTCTATGCTGCCAATTACTCCATCCATAAACACAATCTTCCTGTTCCAAAATGGATTCGTCAATGCACAGTCTGTTGATACTTCTCTGAATACATCCTTAAAACAAACGAAGAAAATCTAAGAAAAAACTGGCAGGTGGGAGGAGTGGGAGTGAGCAGTGGGACAAGGAACCAAATTGCAAATGCAGACAGACAAAAAGTACAGGAGAAGAAAATAAGATTTTAAAAGTCATGAACAATCAAATTAATCTGACTTTATTTAGTTAAAATTAACCTTTCAGTTGGTTCTAAGTGCAAAATCAACACGGCAAGAGGTGGCTTGCTCCTGCTCCACACTGTTAGCGTTTTTCCGAAGTAAAGTAGTGTTGAAAAATACTACTTGAAATTTTACTGTGAGTTTAGGAACCCACTTACTTTCAACTACTGCAGGACTAGATGGAATCTGAAAAAAGTCTGGAAGCTTTCATTACAGGGTTATATGAAAATTATATCTCAAAGTCTGTTTGTAGAGCTAGCAATTAGTAACTCTCAAGGCACTAACCCTGTATGTTATGGACGTAAGAAGAGAAGTTTTTTGCCCGTCAAGACATTCCACCTTGTAAATCTATGACTGCCAGAGAATTTTTAGTAATTTGCTCAGCAATGGCACCATGTGTAACTTTCTAAACTATATGCAAATTCTTTAGCCATTGTCATTTAATGATGTTTATCAACTACTTCAATGCCAATGCAGCTTTTCATGCAAGAACACAGCCATTCTACACAGGATACAAACCAAAACCTCCGAATCCACATCAACAATGAATTCAATACCCACTCCCTAACTCCCAGATTTGTTGTTTAAGAGTGCCAGCTTTTCTTCCAGATTGCAGTTAGAATAAACACCCTTGATGGTCAATGTCTAGCTTTTACAGGAGGAAAAGGAGAAATGGTCAGTTGTCCAATTTCCATAGTAGAATTAGGTAACACACAACATCTTCAAGCACGGTATGCAGCTCCATTTTCTTGCAAGTTCTTTTACTGAACAAAGCACAATACAAGCAATGTCGGTTCCTGATCTTATAGTACAAAACAGTAACACTATCAAATGCCATTAGAAAGGAACTATTCTGTTAAAACCACATTTGGGAAAAGAAGTGTAAAAGCTCTGCTCAAGGTTTTTTTCAATTTCCTAAATGCCCCAATTTGTTTCACAAACAGTTTACCTCAGACATTGGAGTGCCCCAGAAGTCATTCTGAAACAGATTTTTTAATGGAGTAGAAGGATGCAAATCTTTATTGTCCAAAATCGCTGAAACATCATCAAAAACAAAGCCACAAAACAGACTGTTCCAGTAGCAGGCTGCCACCACACCAACTATTAGTGCTGCTTCCTTCAGGCTTACATCAGCCATCTTCTCTAAGAGTTTTCATAGACAAAAGCTGAAAAATATGGAGAGAAACTTAAGTAGCTTTACTGATTAAAAACTAAACTTGGTAAAGTCAAATTAAGGCATCCAGTATTTTAGAAGTTCATGACACTAAAAATCTGTAAAGAAAGCTGTCTTCAAGTCTCATCCATCTTACACAATTTTGTGTTTAAAAAACACACTCTCATTAAAAATTTGATCCCTAAAAAGCCCTCATACAAGCTGGATGCACTGCTACATTTCCCATTTTACTAAGAGAAGACTGATGATGGATTCTGACATAGGTTTTAGCAGAGATATACAGTCCAATTAAATGCTGCACACACTGAGGAACTATGGAAACTTAAGTTCTCTAGAACCCTAAATAATTTAATGCATTCACACGGAATACTAAGTTATCAAAAAGGCAGACAATGTGTTAATTATTCATATTTTTTAGGTTTAAGGGTGTTTCTGAAAAGCAATTTAAAAAAGAAACCAAACAGGAAACTTGAAGAACTTAACATAGGTGATCAAGAACAGGCGAACGAAGACTTAGTAATAAAAAAAAAGTTCAACTTACCATTGAAGCTCACGCTTAGGTCATTTGCAATCTTCAGAGAAGTTCATGAAAAGGTCATTGCCGATTACTTCTATGTCACTGAATGTTCATGAGTGTCCTGTCTAAAGAAAAACAGTATGCAAAAAAGACACTCAAAATGCACTTTATCTTAATTATTTTCTCTTATCTTGCATAAACTTCCTAAGCCCTAGAAATTATCAATCAGCAATTTTATGATTATTTAAAAGTGGAAGACCTGATCAAAAGGTGAAATTACTGTGCACTGAGTTGTTTGAAAACACTGTTGTGCCTTGGAAGAGTAAAAAGGTACCTACACGTCAAAGGCATCCTTTTTGACCACTGGCTGACACAGCATGGATTACTGCCAATTGTTGGAACCAAAGATACTGAAAAGCTACAGATAGTTGAACACCGACTTTCTTTTGAGAAAAAGGAAAGATAACAGAACAAAAATATATAGCATTTTCTCCAAAACTACAGGGGGTAACATCTGTAAGGACAACAGAACAGCTAACATTAGGCAGATCTGCAAATACGTAAAACCACCAGCTTATGTCTATCAGGGTTTACACATCAAGGCTGAAAAGTTTTCAGGAAGCTGTTTTATTGTAATGTTGATTTTTTTGTTTCTTTGTTTGTTTGTGGCTTTTTTTTTTTAATTGTGTTAAGGTTTAAGTACACTATCCTCTAGAAAGAGACTATAGAGATATTCAGTCAAGCAACTCCAGTTGTGGTTTGCAGCCTGGGTCTGAGAGAATGACAACCACTAACTGCAACTAGTGGTAAAGGAGCAGTAGTACAGGATGGAGTACACATGCACCAAGGTGCAGGTGCAGATAAACTCAAAACCAGGACAAAGATCATTTAAAAGGAATCAAACTAACCCACGCAGTGTTACTCACATAAAGGCTGTGAAGTAGTTTTTCGTTTTCCTTTGTAGTATGTGGAGCACTGGCTATGGCTGCTACTTCAACCACATAAGCGTTTCTTCAAAGGTGCCACCATCTTTGTAATTAAAAAAAATGGGAAAAACAAAACAAAAAAAACATTTTAAAAGTTAGGGGATGCTGCTACATCTTTTTGCCAGGCTGGCTGAGAGTACTTTAAAATACTGAGCCAAGATTAATTGTAAACATATTTATGGTCTTCTTGGCAGCCAGAGAAATCTTACTAAAAAAAGAAAACAAATCATACTGCAGGAATACATGACAGGACAACTCACTTTTGAACTTCAACTCACCAAAGTTTTATAGTTCCGCCCCTCAAGAATGTGGAGGAGAAGAAACTGCTGTTTCTCACCTCAAACTGCTTGTTTGCAAGTGCACTTGCTATTTGGTGAAGTTCACTAGCTCTGCTGAAAAGCAGTGAAATCTAAAAAAAATCTGTAAAAAATGTAATGATTTTCCATCATACAAACCTACATTTTGAAAATGCCGTGTTTCAAAAATTAATGGGACAAGACAATATTGCCACACAGAATCAACTGTAAGGTTTATTTAAAATCGGTCTTCAAAAAAAACTATGGAAGGTGAGCAGGTTTTCGGTAGTAAGTTTACTGTACTGGTTGAAGCAGCAAGCCTCTACAGATACTGCTTTGCATATCAAAGAATAACACTGAGATAATTCTTTAACAACCCCTATTTCACAAACAGTTACTGCCTCCCAAACAGAGAAAATAAGATAGGTCCCTGAGTATAGCCTCCTATCAAAAGGAAAAGCTTAACCAACCTTAATTTCTAGCTCCTCAACTACATTTTTGGAGGATTTTACTTCTCCCTACAGAGAACATATGTCAAGACATCTACTTTACTAACCCCTTAATCGTAGGCAATTCTGATGCTTTCACAAGCCCTTTTTGCTCTGATTTTCTAGTATTTCTTCCACCAAGAACTCTAAATTTACACGACTGACCATGCTGTTCCCTGATAGAACTATATTTACTTACACGCCAACTATAGGCATGGGGAAATATCATTTTCATTTAAATGGAATGGAACTCCTAGGCATAAAGAAATTAAGATTTTAGCTACACCCAAACATTTAAGTGGCTAACCCATTAGGGAAACCTGTCTGAGAACTCTAGAAAAAGCTTACCTTTAACATGGCATTTCTTTTAATGTGCAATTTGCCCTCTCCTTTATATGCACATTTCAATCACAGATATGATTGCAAATACATGCAAACACATGGCGACACTTCAGTCTTTCAAGACAAGTATTAAGCCACAAACACTCCAGGCAATTCTGATACAGCTTAACTAAATCTACTGTAAGGAATGAATACATGTGACAAAAGGTATTGTTCTCTGGTTTTAGCAGCAAGTCACGTAACACACCGCTCAAGCTGTGCTACGCTTGGTAACATCAAATGCATCGCACCAAATCTCTCCTAATTTTTTGTTGTGTGCAAAAGCACTAGGAGGTCTTGGCCATAGGCAGGTAAAATGGAAATGTGGAAGAGATACCATTTTCCAGTAATGTGCTTCCAGGGTAAGCACAAAGAATAAAGAAAAACAACAGGAAACGCAAGGCCACGTACTATCTGTAGATCACACAAACCCGTAGCACACATACTTGACTACTTCTGATGTGCATTCTGGCATTCTAAGGTCTGAATTTCCTGAAATATACTGTAAAGATACATAAAATTAGGGAAACTACTTTTTTTTTCCACTGGGTCTGATAACGGGGTAACGTTAATGTTCTGGCTGAGATTAAGCACAAATACGGAAAAGATGGTTTCACAGTCCTTTATTTTAGCATAACAAAGCAGATTTTGAGGAAGGCTCACCATCAGAACTACTACTTTCTGCCTGTTACTACAGCTGGGTCCACCATCAAACTCCAAGCTTCAAATCTGGAATGATCATCACCATGTTGAGAATGCAAGACTAAGAGGCTTATAAAAGCTCACCTGTACTTGGCAAACCAGGTAAAAGTATGTCTGCCATTAATCTCAGTGGGAAACAGCAACTGCTATTTGGCAGCCAACACTCTTTTCACATCAACTAATCTCTTTATCAGTTTGATGTTGGAAAGTAAGAAGCCATATAAGGAGTAAGCAAGACTGAGAACCTGAGATGTGCTGTGAGCCTTGGCACAACCGAGCTCCTCTGGTGAGCTGATACATTCCCCTCCTGACCCAATAAACATGTTGAAATTTGCTATCAATCCTAGTATGGTCTTGCATGTGCCAGTACTTCACCGCTCAGTTGTGACTGATAAATACCTGTAACACACCACCTGACAACTTGTTTGTTAACAGAAGCTTGCTCTGGTGGAGAGCCACATCACTAACACATGCGAACACACTGACTGTCCCTCAAGTTATTTTTCATCTTGCCTACCTGCTACTTTCACAGCTTTTACGACATACCTTAACCACCTCTTGGGCTGTACAACTGCCAGTTCATGGTCTATGGAATAGGCACAGAGCTCCCATGTGACTAGACAAAATGAGGACGGGTACATACATTCTTACTAGATTTCTGTTGGACATTTTAATTTACAACAGTATCTGACTGTGTGATGAAGGACATACAGCTGAAAACAATAAGCAGCAAGATAAGCCTTGTGACACAGAAATGGCACAATTGAGAGAGCAAATTATGGGAAAATAGAATGTCCAAGCTGTGCAGAACACCTGTGGGTCTAATTTTTCCAGGCTGTTTGGCACAGAAGTCTGTATATTTCACTGTACTGTTTTCATGTGCATACAGAGATATTAAGTGCAAAAGACAGACAAGAACTAGAGCTCTCAAGCAGGTTTGGCTTGTAAGGCATGTAGGTGTCCTCTTCCAACTTCTTGAGAACCTTCTACCAGCTCCTCCAGTCTTCTCCTTCAAGAACTACAGACAAGAGTAAGAGATAACAAAAAAAAACCCACAACACCCAAAACTTTTAGAAAAGTAGAAAAACAAATTCTTTTTCTACAGTCACTACCAAATCCATGACACTACAGATGGTTCAGCACTGCATACTGGAAAATATAGTAGTCTGAACACAAAAAATCAACACAAATAAAAAATTCATAATGCTGTTCTAAGAGTATCTCCAGTTGGGAGATTTGGGAATGTGGGAGCCATTTTCTACTCATATGAATTTAGGAAAAATTAGGAAGTATGCATTTAGTCAGGAATATAGCTGCAACCCCTAAATACACAACAGCTACTTTGCTACTTAGCACTAATAACCTATCACCTGATATCACATACTAATTAGCTATCACCTAATAAACATGCTATCTGCTACCTTACATCATACACTTATATGTGATTAGACACATCTTACTGCTTAAGTTCAGAAACTTAAATGCACATTTAAATTTTTTGTTGTACCAGGTAATGGCACTGTTACACCCTGAAGAGCATTAATGAAAACTTCTGTTCCAATCAATCTGACTTCAAAGAAAATGTTCTACGCAACTCACTTTATTCTGTAGGAAAAAAAGAC